TTTTTTTTTAATTTTTAATTATTTGGTTAAAATTTCATTTGATGTCTTAATTAGAAGGGAAAAAAGAGTTTATGGAAAGAAAAAAAAAATTAATTTCTGCGATATTAATTACAATTATAAAATCAGGAATTAGCATATTAAACTTGTAAGTCTGAAATTTATTTTCGAATGAAAACATTCGGTACGGGCTTCTTTTAATTAATTTTTACATTTTTTTAATTTTAATTTGTGTTCCATACAACATTTTAATAATGCCAAAAGTTAGAACATTGTATAAAGAGAGGACAAGACGTCCTCATCCTTTATTATATCAGGATTCAAAATATTATACTATTGAGGTAAATATTTGAATTTAAAGTATAAAAGTGTTCATGTCATAAATCACATTTACTTGCGGGATTTCTATCGAATAAAAATATTTAAAATTTTACTTGTGATACTTATGTGAAAAAAACTAAAATTTTCCAATAATTTGAAATTTTGAATGAAAGCTCTGGAAATATTTTGCAATTCATAGTTTATAGTTTCGAAATTTGGCCATTCCACTTGAATTAGAATAAAATTTTACTTTTACGTTGAAAAATTTATATAATTTATCTCTATTATTTAAAATTAATTGTTCAAATTAAAAGGACTTACAATTTAATTTTGTGGGAAATTTTAAGCACCACGCAAAATGTTGTGGTTTTCTTGTTGGTGTAGTAAATTTTTCTTATTCTTAATTGTGTAATTATATGAAATTTCAAATGCAAATTGCTTGGAAGTTTTCGGAGTCATTCAAACTTATGTGCAGAAAACTCTAATTAGTCTTCTGTTAATAACATAATTGATAACATGATTTGTAATGGTGTGTATAAGCAATAAATATTCCTAGGTTTATAAAATATTCAGTAAAATATAATGCTAGTAGTGTTGAGCATATTGGAGAAATATATGAGAAATATTTATGACATTCGAATCATTGATTTTCTGTAATAAATAGTACGTCTTCCGTTATAGTTGGTATTATATATTTAAATTTTCGTTAATCTATTCCGATAATTTTATTTTAAAAGCAAAAGCAGTGTTCTATTTTTATAATACTATACAATTAATCTTATAATATTGAACTTGCAATTGCCACTGTGAATACGGCCACGTTTGTGGCCGTTACAATAAAATTGATTTAATATTTTTTAATTATTCTTCTGATAAACAAACAATGCAAATTCAAAACTGTTTATGTATAGTTATATTTAAAAATATAGTAAAAAAAATTTAGTTAAATCAATTCATATTTGTTATGCAATATTAAATTCTTTAAATATTTACTATGAAAATTTGACGTTGACACATCTTTGAGGTATTTTAATTTCATAAATAATGAAAATTATTCAATAAAGCTATTGTATATGTGTTTATTGTTTGCGTCAATGCATACATCAATACTCGTATAAGAAACAAATTAGTATTTATATTAAGATTTCTGGAAAAGTAATATTCCTTATAATATGTAATGTAAGTGAATGATATTCCGAATAATAAAATAGAAAAAAATTAGCTAAATTTGTTAATACACCGAAATCCGGTTGATATCGATGCATAACGTATATTCGAATTAATCCGAAAATCAAAAATGCAACTCAATCAAAAATAATTTTCAAATTTGTATGAAAATCAGGGTGTTGAGAATCATTTGTGTGAAGGAAATTGATTATAATATTTTTAAATCTGCTAATTGTAAAGGTTGTTTGAATATGCGACGCTCAAATTAAAAAACAATCGGCTGATAAATTCGATAGAAAAATGCACTAAAAGAATTAGTTGCAAATTTTGATGCACCCAACCTTTCCCGTCTTCCAAATGGAAGCACACTGATACTGAATTAAAGAAAAATATTTAAGTCAGTATCAAGACGCTTCGGAAAACATCAATCGAAGTGGTTCGGAATGTAAAGCATTAAACATTGTTTTTGTAAATTTTGTTACTTCGGAATGCTTCGGAAAATATTTTCTGAATGTCAATTCGGAGAATGCTTTCAGCTATCAATCTGATAGATGACATGGGTCGCTGTATTTTTGACTTTATTGTTTATCTAATTTCATATCATAAAACTTGTGCATTAGATTTTTACAAAGAATTACATTGCTGGTTAGACTGACACTTTTTTTCCTAAAATAACATTATATTTATACATATTGAAGAGATAAAATATAATTTTGCGTGGTCCAATTTTGGCAATTCATAATTTTACAGTGTGTCAAATTCATTAAAATGAACTCTCAGAATATTTATAAATATACTCATATTAATTTAAAATAAAAAGAACATAAATATAATATTTGTATATTAAGGTTAAAAAACAGTTTTTCTTCTTGTTTAGCTTATCAAATAAAATAATTTATAATAGGAAAAATAAAAATAATAAAAAAATAAAAGACAAATCGTAAAAGGTATTCGTTTTGCACGTTTTACAAAAAGTTCATTTGTATACACTTACATTGTCATGATATTGAATAATTTATTTATGTATAATGACATATGTATGTATGTATGAATCAATCAGTGTCGGAGTTATTGCTTTACAAATATACGCCTTAAATCTTAAATTCGTCAAACTGACATTTTTGTTGTTCTCATTTATTAAAAATCAAAAAGTTATAAAATGTTAATTCATCAGTTCTAGCCAACAATTAATTAAATTTAATTTACAATTTCTTGATTTTAAGGAGAGAAATCTGCAACTCGATTATAGAAGTGTAAATTCATATATGCAACATCCAAAAGTTTAGTTCATAATATAACATGCATTCAATTTAAGGTGGCTTGACTTAATTTAAAATTATTAGTTATTTCTGATACTTACAGTAATGCAGTATAATTACAATTTTGAGGTCACAGTATACCTGAGTTAAATCAAAACCCGAATCCGATTCTGTGTATTAAATTATTTCTCGCCTAGTTTAGTACATAATATTTATTAAAATATCAAAATCTTATACATATATATTCATAAATATGATAAGTACGAAAGAAAAGCGGCCGGTTTAAATTAAATCTTGTATGTGAATATTACGTCTCGTTTTGTACAAAGTGATATAGGTATAAAATAATGTCACCCTTTAAAATGCAAATTGTTTTTTATAAAATATTCATATTAACATTTTGAATTAATATTATTTTCGTCGGTTTAAGCCAACTATTGAATATTATAATTAAATTAGGAAAGAAATAATAATTATTAACTTTATTTTTTAACTAATTATCATTATGTTTCGCGTTTCTAAATTATTATTTTCATTACCACAATGTTATTTTTGCTATTTATGATTTTTATTACAGATTTCGGATAAAATCCAAATTGGTTTACATATCTGATTTGATAGAATTCGAAAGACATGTCTGATATGACATTTGAAATATATTTTTAATATTACTATTGGTAGCGAGACTCATTTCCTCTTTAGAAAATCGCTCAGATAACATTGATAATTACAAAGGCTGGTACGCTCAGTATCAACATTATTCTTATAGTTGCTACATTTAGCTATATTAATGCGCGTCAATTTAACGCGCCAATTATTAGAACAGAAGTATTATTCCTAGTGAAAACAAGTGCAATTGAGTTCCTTCTGAGAAGCGATATTTAAAGAACTCAATTGATTTAGGAGGAACTGAGAACGGGAATTGCAAATAGGGCTGTAAACATTTGGGTATCAGGTCTAAGTGGAATATGGGGAAACGAGCACGGAATGCATATATGTTCGTTTATGGTTAGATCGTATTCTGAGATTGATTCCATGCGAACAAACGCCGGCATGATCTAAGGTATCGACGTATATATGACAGAAAATGACAGATATCGATTCGGCGCTTTAGCTTTGAATTTTCCATATATATTGTCCAATTTATTGTGTATATTCTCAAGATTTTTTTAGAAATAATATTCTTAAATGGCGTATAGGATTTTTCCCTAAGGTGAAAAATTTTTGAAATAAATACCTGTGTAAATCAACAATCTAGATCTAAATTTCGAATTTTTACATGTTTGCCTACATATACTTACAAAAAATCTAGATACAGACAAAAACCAAATGGTAAATAATTTATTCTTAAGTCAATTTTGAATTGTAACGAAGTCTAAAGTTCACGAAAGAAATACATTCGACGAGGACGGCGACGAACACGACGGCAACGTCACTTACACTATAGTATGATAATATGCTAATAGGAGCTGTAAATGCTAACTGTATATGAACATATTTTTGTGGATAAATGTATTCGTGTACATAATGTTACGACAAATAGTTATTCTCAATTTATTTTAATAAGATTTAATGAAACTACTTTAAAATCAAGCCCAAAACTATATCTATGTAAATAGTAAATAAGATTTATGTATATACCATGTATACCCATAAATACATAATTGTATGTGCATTATATACCGTTAGTCAATGACTATGTATTATTTTTTGTTATAAGAAAACAAAAATTACAAAATTACAAAATAAAAAGAATTTTTTTCTTTCTTTTTCATTCATTCTTTTTTTTTCATTTTTGCTTTTCTTTTCGCTGCCGTTTGATGATACTTTTTAGTCAAACGATAGATGAGATTAAGATTATCCAGTTAGTATTCGCAAATCTTCTCATCTAATCAACCGGTATAGAACAAATTGCGGTAAAAGAATAAAAATGCATAAGTAGTTATGCGTTCAGTACATACGAGTATAAAATTTTCTGAATGAAAATTCACTTAAAATAAAGTGATTAAAAACGTGTCGTGCCGGGTTTTTAATTTATTTCTATCTCTAAATTCGACCATTTTCATTAAATTTTCTTGGAAATCAAATTCAGAATGGAATAAAAGAAGAAAAATTGGATTTTTGTTTTATTTTTTTTTTTTAGTTTTAATACGGTATTTAGTAAATGGCACTCATGTGATGAAAAAAGAAACAAAAGAAAAAAAACAAAATTAATATTGAACTAAAGTGAAATTTTTAATATTTTAATAGAAAAAAATTAATTATGAGTGTTTATCTTATGATTTATATTTTTTCATTCTCTTTAGTTTATTATGACACATTTTGAAGTAATTATGACATAATGTCATTTACTAATTTAAAATTACGAAAATTATAACTATTTCAATATTATTTTAATTGAAAAAATTTATTTATTTATACGTACTTGACAGGCACAATGTAATAAATTTGACACTTACTAAATATAATGACATACTAAAGAAAATCACATATAGATGTCGTTTTTGTTAGAATATAAATAAAGGATATATGTACATAAATATTAAAATAACCATTGCTTTATTTATGAATTATAAAATTTTATAATATGTACATCTATGTTTGCAACCCTGCATATGTACAGGATTGTACACAAATATAAATATTCTATAAAATTTATTTTATGAGTATGTAACGTACGTAAGGGAGTCAAAATGCAAGAGAAAACGGAAGAAATATGAAAATAAGCGTAAAATGTATGTGTGCGAGAAATATGATTTTGCTGTTCAATAACTCACAATACAACAGTGTCAAATTAAGTTAATTGTTTTAGTCCTGCCATTTCTCTACTCAATATGCGAAAAAACGAATTTATTCCAGTCAAAATAGATTTCTGGATAAGTGTTATCTTTTAATTATTGATATTTAATCATAAATTTTTAATATATCCAGGTTATTTGCGATATTAATGAATTTGAGATTGACGTTGAATAGCTGCTTACGTCAAAAATTTCTTAAAGCATTAAATAAAGAAGTTTATATCAAATAGCCTTATTACGAGTATTTAAAGGTGCCATTGGAAAATCAATGGAATTTATATGTATTTACATTTTTATATATACACATATTTGTGTGTATATTCTTCTTTATATATTATGTGCTTATTTGAATTCCTTTGAATTTCAAATTCTTTAAATTCTTATATAAAAATTTTCGCAATCGCTTAAACTTAATATATGAATACCAACATATTTACAATCTTTAATGAGTTAATATTATAAGTATGTACGAAATATATACATATCTACACATGTAAGAATATAAAATGTAGGTATATATACTTTAAAATAAATTTTCATTTAAAACCTTATAATTTAGTTTATACTTCCGTTCTGTTTCATTATTTATACATTATTTGTACATAGCATTCAAAACTTTATTGTCTTCTACATTCTAGCTACGTATATTATATACGTATAGGTATGATCAATATTTACTAATGTAAAATGTACATAATACAGAAGTTACACATAATAAATCACATTGTCATCACTCATCACATTCTTATATACATACATATCTTAAATATTCTTTTTCGTTTGATTTGATTTAAGACAAAATGTAGCAAAGTTTAAAAACAACAAAAAAAATATGATTTATTTATTAGAATTCATGGCACATACTGTTATAGATTGATCGGTAGCAGTCATTCTACTATACATAGCTTATGTCAGATTCGGTAATGAAAATTTTATTTGAATGTCAAAAAAGTTTGAGTTTTTGATTATATGTATATAATTAGGCTTTAAAACTCATTGTAATATTTTAAATATATAATTGAGAATATGTCCAAAAATTATTTGAAAATGCTGTTGTTTTATAAAGCGAGAAATAAATTAAAAGGAGAACATTACTTTGGAGGGAAGAATTCTTTAAATTAGGCAAAATTAATACAAATTTTTGTTTAACTATCGCCTACAGAGAGGAGATGTGCGAACGCTCAAATGTGAATTTGTTTTGTCATTGAAATAAAGTTTGACGTTTCGATTTAAAAACCAACTAAATTCTACTTCTAGTTGGCCATAACTACTCTGTAAAAAATAATGAAATCGAGACATACATACATAGATATATTTATAATAATTTATGTATTTTTTTTATAAAATTTATTTATATACGTATGAAAATTTTACAAATTCATTGATTGATTTTGAAAAATGTTTTTGCTTCAAGTTGTTTTGCAGGAAAAATTATGTTTGGTATACTTATAAGTATATTTCTTAAGAGTAATTTCTAAATTCACTGCCGTTTTTAGTGTAATGCAATCTAATTTAAAAATTCTTAAATTTTTTACTGAAATAATAAAATTTTTTGCCAATAAATATTATTAACTGATTGTCAACAACACGGCAATATTCATTTAGTTATAAAAAGATCGCACCATAATAAAGCAATGATTATTTTCTTACTGTACATATTTTACAATATACCGTAAATATAATAAATAGTTTGCATACATATAACAATAATAAAATGTGTTATATATTTTAAGAAAATACGCATACATCTCTAAAGAATATAAAAAGTTTTAATATAAAATTAAATAATATACATATACGTATACATATAAGTAAGAGTATAAGCAGAGTGTTATGTGAAAATTAGGTTCATTTATGAATTATGACAATATAATATATTATATTAAATAAAATTTGTGATGCATTCCAAGATGGGGATCGTTAATTTAAGAATAAAAATCTACTATAAAGAAAATATTTTAATTCAAAAAAATTATTAAGTATTTATCAAATGCTTTTACTAAATTTAAAATATTTTTAAAAAAAATTATTTTACACATAATAAAATGTCTTGTAAATTTATATGAAACAATTTTTGATCGTAAATTTATTAAATAATCCTTATAAATATAAAATATAAAAATTTAACTAAGCATAATATACATACATACAAATAAATATAGGGAAATAAGAGATAACACAAAAAAAAAATCAAAATGTCGGAAATGATGGGCTATTTGCCACCAGGATATGAATTAGATCCAATGGAAATTCATAGGGATAGTTTAATAAATGATATTAATAATGATGATAATAATATTGATAATGATGATGTTGAAGATTCAGAATGGGCAGATTTTGAGAAATTTTTAAAAACAATACGACAACGTCGTACAAGTACAACATCTATGGAAGAAGAATTGGAACGTCATCATAGGAAACCAAAAATTCAATCACAAGCATTTTATCCATGTCCACCAGTTAATATATCTGATCGTAGAGATTCAGATTTTTCTGTATCAGATGATGATCCATTCGGATATTTGGACACCCTTGTAAGTTTATTAATTTTAATAAATTTTATGGCATGAGATATAGACCAGCTACACATAGTTAAATTGCATGATAAAAGTTTCTCATACAGCATGGCAATTTCGAAGTAAGAAAATCGCTTTTTCAAAGTTGAATACTTAAATACTCCCAATATGTAAGTATCAGGAATAAAATTTTTAATTAGGATTAAAAATGTTTTCATTATTGAAAAGTAGTCTAGTCATAAATTTAAGTAATATAGAATAAATCAATTTCTCACCGCACAGCATTTTTAGTGTATTAATTTTAAAACTAATGTTTTGAGTTTTGGAAAAATTTACCGGTCATATGCTGCAACAGTAACATAACTCAAAAAATACGATATATTAGTTATTTATACAGAAATTTCTTTCTTGTAAAAAAATTCAAGTTGACTAGGTTGCAAATTGTCGCTAAGAATAAATTATAAAATAATACTATTAGGAGGAAAACATATTAACTCCAAAATTTTCAAATCCGATTTTCTCAGATGTGCAAATTTTGAGTTATGTCAGTTTTACAGAAAGCAAACGATGTGTTCCGAAATTAAAACTTTACTAAGAGAAACGGTAACTTGTAACGAGAAGAAATTACCGAAATTAAATATCTGTTAACGTCAACAAATTGGTTAAATTTTATACTTTTATATTATACGAGTTAACATCTAAGAAGAAAATTGTGCCTAAAAATTTGTTAATATCCACACTTTTTTTTATCTAAGTATAATTTGCCTTACAATTTAAAATTTTGTTTGCGATTTTAACAAAATAAAGGGGGCAAATATTGCATTTATAGAATTATAGTTATAATTTTTACACTGAAAGAACGTAAAAATTATAAAAAATAAAGATTTCGCGGCAAAAACTGTATAATAAGTAAACTGTAAAATATAAGTTTTGTAAGCACTCAAACGGAACCGAATGATTTTTTCCGATTTTATTGATAATGTGCTTAAAAATTCTAAGGATAGTAAAGTTTAGAGTATTCTTTTAATTTTCCAAATCCCTTCTTCCATCCCTTCCAAATAAATTTCTATTATTTCCAAAATTTTTTCGAACATTTTATACCTCAACTTATACAAAGCCTATTATTTTCATTCATACTACCTCAAAATTTATTAATTTCATATATAAATTTTATTTTTAAATTTTAATCGTAAAAATTTTTATTGTATTTACAATGTAATTAAAATTTATTTTATTTAATTTTATTTTCTTTTACCTTTAAAAATAAAATTATTTTTATTTAAAAAAAAAAAATTTCCTCGCACACAAACACATATTTTACATACAAATTTATGTGTTTTCTTCTCTCTGACGCATTTTCATCGAATTCGATTTGTGGGATAACCTTAAATTTTTGTTATTTTTCTTTCGTGCAAAATAATTTTCCTTCTATACAATTTAGGTTAAGTTCATGCACGACATGAAAACTTTTTAATTTATAATGACATCGAATAGACGACATAAAAAAAGAAAAATTAAAATTTTGTGTTTAGAAAAAAAAAACCATAAATATAAATAATTTTTTTTTTTCAAAATTCATAAAAGCATTCTAAAAATAATTCTAATGAGTGTGCGTCCAAATGTGTCCCAAAAAAAAAAAATTTATAATATTAATATTTTGTTTTGTTATTCATTCTTTTTTTCGAAATCATTGTAAAATTACACTTTCGTCAGCAATGGTCATGATCTACATATACATACAAATGCACATATAAGACTTCGAACTCGACCCATTGAAGAATAATGTTGCGATTTGTTATTCTCACATTATTATTTATTTTGCAAAAATCATTAATAAATAAGTAAAAATACAAAGAAATAATTTTAAAAAAAATTTCTTTAAAATAATTTTCTCTCTCTCAAAAAGAAAAAAGAAACAAAAAATTCTCTTTGAAGGCTTATTAAATTAAAAATAAATTGAAATTATTTTTTTGTTGATGAAATGAGAATGTCATTTGAATTTAATTACAAATTTCTATAATTTCTCTCTCACTTTTGTAAAGCAAGCAAAAAAAAAAGCTCTCTCATTTCACTCATTTAAATGTCAATTTTGTTAACAATAAAAAAATTTTTATTACCAATGCAATACTTTTAACGCAAATGATTTATTTAAAGGTAACAACACAGCAAATATGTAGACGCAATTATGCTAAATACAATTAGGAAAATAAATTTTACTATTTAGAGGGCGTAGGAAGTTAATTTTAGTTATTTTGCGTATTTTGTTTTTTATTTTTGTAACAAAACAACTGAGAGTAATTTGAATAAAATGCAGAAGAAATATTTTGTAATCTGTAAAGCGATTTTTTTTGCGGAAAACATTTCCTATAACAATTATACCCTTTTCTTTTTACATCTTAAATAATGAGGCTCTGTCTGCATATACGATAAAATTTAGGAATAAATCTACAATAAAATCTGATGACTTTTCATATATCAAACTAAAACTATTAAAAATTTGAACTAAGAAAATATTTTTTTTTAATTTACATTATTAATGAGAATAATGATTGCTTTTATCATTTGTATTTTATTCGGTTCTTTCTCAGGCAAAGTGACATTAAGTTGTTGGTAAAAAAAATTGTCACATGTTCACAAATTGCACGTCAGAATTCATCTCCACATTCATTACGCCTAAGTGTATGCAATCAAATTTATGTAATTAAAATTCGTTATGATTGTGTTAAAACATAAAAGCATCGGTAGTTCAATAGTAAAATGATCGCCTGCCATTTTGACATAAATTTTCCAACGAACAAAAATATTCCTTATCCCCTTAACAATATATTTTATTTAATTGGGCACTTGAGCACTCCCTTAAAAGAATAAAGTATCTTTATAATTGCAATAAATCGAAAAAATAAAAATATTTTTCTGAAATAAAAAAAAACAAGAAAAAAAAACGAAAAATGAAAGTTGCGGTATTGTTTTTGAAATTTAATCTTTATTCAACAAATAAAATTGAATAATGAAAGAGGAACTTTCTAAATAGATTAAAAACAAAAAGACGAAAATAAAATAAATTAAAATATTTTTTTTTTACTTTTCTTATGTGAAAAGCTTATATTATGAAAACTGCTATAAAACTCAATATTTAAATATCGAAACGTGATACCGTAATATTATTGAATTTTTTTTTTATATATACACAAAAAAAAATGCTAATTTTATCTTCAATTCTGGCTAATTAATTTGCAGTATTCTGTAAATTAATTCTACTTTATACCGGAAGCGAAATATTTCCTTTAATATTGAAAACTTTCTAAATCGTGTATGCAATACCAAATTGACGTTTATACAATTACAGGCACAAACGTGTACGTATACAATTTTGAGAAATTGAATTTTTTATATTTGAAAGTGAAATAAAATGACTACAAATATTAACCCTCAAGTTAAATCGACCCTTAAATATTTAGTATTATAACAATATTTAAATATGGCATCTATGGAAAACAACATGTGATTGCACAAAAAATCAAATGCGTTACAGAAATGTTCTTATTACAACTTTATTATTAAATATCGTTTTTGTGTCCAATCGGGATATAGATTTTTTATTTAGTAACTGTGTTATTTAATAACCGTGTTATTAAATAAAAAATCTATATCCCGTGTAAAAAATCTATAACCGTGTTATTTGAATTGTTCAGCTTTTGAAATTTGTCAAAGAGGTTGGTTGGTTCAGGTAGGTGGTCTTTGGAATTGATTTATATCGGGGTTGTGGGTTGTTGGTTTGAGGGTTGCCGGTGTTGAAGCGGGACCACCCTCTTCTACTACTACTACTACTATTATTCAAATTGTTACTCCATACTCCTATTTCTTAAAATTATTTTTATTATTGATTTAAAAACTGTTTTTCTTAAACTAACTGGTACATTCCGATAGTTTTATATAAGATCATTGGCAAATCATAAAGATGAAGATCATGTAGATCATGGAGGTAAATGTTCTAAAAATTTTGACAAAAAAGGGAGATGTACTGCTCAAGACAAGTCAATACGAATTTTCAATTACATTGGTGATTCAAAGAAAACAATATGACAAAGGGAAATGAAACTAAATTTAAATTTTTAAATATTAAAATAACATTTTTATATATGTAAATTAATTGTAATCGAATACAATGTAAAATATGATGATAAATTTTAAAGCATTTCGTTTTACATATTAATTGTTTTATAGTTTTTATTAAAATTTTAATTTTATTGTAATTAAAAAAATAGGTAATTAAAAACTTTTTTTATTACGACAAACACTGTAATAACGTTGAAATTTTTATATAATTTTGTAATATAATTATAAAATTTCCTAAAAATTTTTTTTTTAAATTTTTTTTTAAATAATTAGCATATACATATTCATAATTAACATTTTAGTAGATTTATTTCAAATTAGCAGGCTTATAATTGTTTATCATGAACTTTCATTTAGCATTATAATAGTTTCTATGATCAGGAAAGGGGTATAATATTCAGAATCGCTTTTAATATTTGTTAATTATTTATGTATATATATGTAAATGCTTACGATTAGAGTAAATTAATTAATATTAAACTGATTATGAAATCATAAAATTTCTTACTCTCGATTAAAGATAATTAAAATGTTCTAATTTTGAATATTATTTTTCTCATTTTTTCAAATTGATTTTTTTATTTTTATGTAGGAGCATATTGTCAAATTTTATTTGTCATATAATTTAATTATGTCAAAATTTTTAAAATGTCGTCAAAATTTGTCACCTTCCAAAATAAAGTGATTGAATTTTGTATACATACGAGTATATTACGTACATATATTATATTCATTCAAATTTTTAGAAAAACGGGAGCAAAATTTTGTTCTCACTTGAAAATGCTATTGTAAATTGCTATTGTAATTTATTCGAATACTCATTATTTTAAATTTTTTTACTCAGTGACTAAAAAAGTGAGATACATATAGAATGAGACCCTTAATTTTAATATAACAATTTA